TAATGTTGGTGATAGTATCTATCTTTAGCATAGCCACAGTATTATTATAAACAAATAGTAATGAAATGTGAAATTCGGACTAAGGCTGTAACAAAGAGGATTTGGTCTGAAATGTCACATCTAGATTTGGTCAGTTTAATGCTTGAAACTGAAGCTACGCAAGCTGTTGATTTTTATCAATTATGCAAAGATTTCTGTTTGAAGGACAAGAAGGAACATGCAGAAAATAAACTGTAACAAAATAGATGCTGAGTATCTTTAAAAAAATCTCATTTTAGCATATTGCTTCTCTTTGAAAATTTGCTTTATTGCAGCAAGTGACAATTATCTGTACCATTTGTGCTTTTTAGTATATGTATCAATGCTTGCAGAAAATCTGTTGATATTGATGGAAAATTACTCCATTTGATGGAAAAGTCTTGTGAAGTATTATGATCTGACAGAGGATGACTGCGTTGGGCAAAGGGGGCATATGCAAGTCTCTTATACCCAGATGGGTTGCCTCAGAGTGCTGAAAGAGCTGGCCAGTGTCACTGCAAGGACACTGTCCATTTTTAAAGGTCCTGGTGATTGGGGGCGATGGCTGGAAAAAGGCACGTACGGCCATTTGCAAGGTCAAGAAGGGGGATCCAGGGATGGCATGTCGATCAGCCTAACCTCAGGCCCTGGGAAGATGAGGAAGCATGCCCAGGAAACTGGTTGGAAGGATAGGAGGGTGACTGGGATCAGTTGCCAAGGATTTATCAAGGAGTAACCAACAAGATAGCTTTTGATAAGTGACTGTCTGTATGGATAAAATGGGGACAGTGGATATTGTTGGCCTCAATTTTGTCTAGACTTTGCACACAGTTCCCCATAATATATCTTGCATTTCAGCTGAAAAGACAGGCTGACCAAGAGGTAGTTGGAAAACTGTCTGGGCTCAGAGGCTTGATCATAGGTTAAAAAAAAAAAAAAATCTGATCTGTGATGTATTAGAAGTGGGGCTTCTCAGGAGTTGATACTGCAGTCAATACTGTTTAGTATTTTTCTTGGTGGCAGAGGCATTGAGAGCGCACCCTCAGTGGTTTTGCAGGCGATAGAACACTGGAGGGTAGTGTACGATTGCTGTTCGGGGGGATGGCAGCAGGCTGGAGAAATGGACTGACGGCAAAACTCATGAAGTTCAGGAAATGCAGATGCCGTGGTCCTGTTCTTGAGAAGGAATAACTGTAACAGTATAGCCTGGGGATCAACCAGCTAAAATGCTTTGCAGAAAAGGATCTGAAGGTCCTGGTGAGCGACAAAGGGAGAGTGAGTTGGCAGCAACCGCTGTGTCAGTGAAGACTGACCGCACTCTACAGTGTATTAGCAAGACTGTGGTCAGCAGTTTGAGAGAAATTATTATTCCTTACTGCTTGTCACTTGTGAGACCACATCTGGACCACTGTATCTAGGTTTGGGCTCCCCAGCATGAGAAAGACATTGGTGTGGTAGAGTTAGCCTTGGGGAGGGCCGCCTAGATGGTAAGGGGGGGTAAAAGCGTGTGATGTAAGAGAAACAGCTGAGAGCTGCATTTGTTAAATCTTAGAGGGGATCCTACTGCTGCCCTCTCCCACCCCCTCTTGAGTATGGAGGTGGCCTTTTCTCAGAAATGCACAGTGAAAGTATCTGAAGCAATCAACAAAAACTGCAACAAGGGAAAGGTTGAACGGATAGCAAGGAAAAAAATTCCACGATGAGAACAGTCAAATGGTAGAAGAGGTTGTCCACGGGGGGTGTGTGTGTGTGGTGGTGTCTTTGGAAATGCTCAAAACTCGACTGGGTTGAGTTGCCTGCCCAAATGTTGAAGTATGCTTTTTATTCTTTTTTCTTTACTTAGTACAATGAAATATATATTTTTTCTCTCACTTTTTCTGAACAGATTCAATGAAAGAGTAGCAAAATTAGTGTGAATTGCTTCAAAAATTCCTGGAATTTTACTGATAACATTGTGAATGTATGGGAACAAACTCGGTGGTTCTCTACTTTCATTTCCTCAGAGGGTTTAAATTTCAGATATATAATATGTTAGAAGAAACTTCAAACGACAGGAGTTTCGAGAGGCTGTGAAATTAAAAACGGCAGTTGTGCAAACTACGGAAGCGAGGGGTGGTCCGGGGCAATGAGCTGGGTGCAGTGAGAGGGGATGTTACTAGCTGGCTCTCTTGCTCTTTCCCGGAGGGCCAAGTGCAGTAGTTTGCCTTTGGCCAACTTCAGCCCAGAGCCCGGCAGCGTGCCGGCCTGTGCCTGGGGCTGGGAGGCAGGCTGGGGTCCCCGGCTCGGGCCCTTTCCAAGGGGGGTGCAGTTGTCCGTGACTGTCCGAGCTGGGGGTGCTGCTGCTGCAAGGTGGTAGAGCAATGGAGGCTGTGGACAAGGGATTTCAAAGCCTGGTGTTGGTCTCTTCAGGTGCTTATGCTGAGAACATTCACTGCCCCTTTCCCTGCTTTGGGATGTAATGTATGGGTAAAACCCATGCTGTAATAAAGATGTTTTTTCCTCCTTGTTTTCTAAAGACAGGAAAGACTCTGCAAGCCGCATTATGTCATAAATGTGCTGATAGGCCAAATGCTAAAGTCCTCTTTAACGCACTTGTTTCCTGCTGCAGCTAACAATGGGGGTTTTGTGCATTACTAAAATAATTCTTACTGACTGTAGAGCCTTCTCATTCTAGTTTTGTTCAGAAATGTTAAATATCCAGTGTGCAAGGGGATTAGCTATCCTTCAATGCAGTATACCCTAAGCTGTATCTAAAACACTACGTTGTACAAACTTTGAGCCTTTATATTTTTCAGAACTTAAGTTTAATTTCTCTTATTTGTTTTGTTAATTTATCTATCAGGATATCAGGTGTTTGAGATGAAAATATTTCAGTCAAACTGTGTAAACTGATCAACTTCTTTAAGGGATGTGCAGATTTTATGATGGACTTAGTGATGCATGTCAAACTGCCATTCACCATATGAGAATTGAATAGGTAAATAAAAGCATTTTTTTCATTGGCAATTATTAGGTAATAAGATTTAATTGTTACACTATAGCTGTATTATTGAGTGGTAGTAGTTTGGGGGTTTTTTTGGTTTTGTTTTGTTTTTTTTTTTAACTGGGAACTGGATGCCTTTGATATGCATTTGAAAGATGACAAATGTTCTGTTTTTTCAAATGTCTGTAAAGTAATGCTGCACCAGGGAGATGCTTTGTTATTCCTTGCCTTATCTTTCAAGGAACCCACATTTTTTGGCTAGCATGTATCAAAGCTGTATCCAGAGTGCATTGTTGTTACAAGGATAAATTGAGCAGAGTGTGCACAGTTTTGGCTAAACAAAGCACATGTGAGGAGGTGTAAAGGTGCTCTTAAAAGAAGAAAGTGCATCTAGAAAGAGACACTTCAGATTATTTGGTATTGTCTGATCTAGAGATGAGATGAGTATAGCTGAAGTATCAGTAGAAACTTTGGAAGAAGAGGAATGGAACTGTGACTGCAAATTTGAGATAGATGAATTTGACAACTGTGATCTGAAAGCCAGAAAATTAGTCGTTTGTTAACCAGGCTGCATCTGTGGTATGGCTTGTCTTCATCCGAATACTGAAAGCTTTCCCTTCTGCAGTATTGTTTAAGCAGTAAAACATGAGTGAATGGTAGTTGAGAACAAATAAATGTTAGATTACCATGGATATTTTTCCCAGAACACCAAATAAAAAACATAAATGGAAAAATAAGCACTCCCTTGATGCTTTTGCTATTTGTCTGGTCTGTTAAACTCTCTCTTGAAGAAACTGTGGTTTAAGAATCAGCAGTTAGCTGGAGGTTTTAAGGAAAAAAAAAATTCTAGGTTATTGCCTTTCGACTTGATAGGACATACTACAGGACAGCACTGGTCCTTACAGCTTACTGTGTAATGGCGTTGTACATGGGTCGTATACTAGTCCAGCTGACACAAGACTGAAATTTGCTGTACTTAAATGCATCAGCATTCTCTCACCTTTTATACTTACTGAGGGAAAACTTTTCCTCTGGGGTAACACTGACTTCTGCATGTCCTGGTCTTTCTGTCCCATCCCATGACCTCTAAGGACAGTGCTAAGGGTTATAGGGTGCTGAGCACTGCTCTGATTGTTAGCTTTTTGCCCTTCACCTTTAAAAAATATATTTTATTTATTGTTAGTTCAAATCTGGGTCATTCAGGTATTGCACGCAAGACATAATCTGATCCTTTCAAGTCCCAGGTAGTGAGGTGATGACTTTTACAGCTTTCTTCTCACTAGAACAACTCAACGTATTTCAGTAAAATACGTTTAGTGATCCTAGATAAGGGCACTGTAGGGGATGACCAGATTCTTGAATTTCAGCAAATGTGCTAGCTGCAGCTCTACTGGGAACCTGGTATTGCATTCTACCTTCAAGTATTTCTAAGGAATGGGGAGAATGATGAGAAATGGACTTTCATACTGAAGACTTGGGATGGCTGAAGCTTTAACAAGGACTGAGTGATATCTGTGTTCTTATAGCTGAGATATAGATGGTGAACAAAGCCATCATGAGGGACATGTGACAAGACCAGTTGCATAAATTAATCCAACATCAGTATTCATACCTGAAACTACAATAGGCATTTTGTGAAACACACCCCATTTTTTTGGTAAAGTATCAGAAGTGTATCTTGTCACATTTAGAAAACTGTGTAAGGCTTTTGAATCAAGTGTTGCTTTTTAAGAGGAAGGGGAGAATACTGACTTGAGGTTAATCTTCTAATTCATTGTGATTTAGAACACAGGAGGCTACAAGGATTCTACAATGAATCAGGCAGGTAAAAGATAAATTGGAAAGTACAACAAAGTACCAAATTACTTTTGTTAAATCTGAATACGTGACGCTGTCTTGGTTAGTTTGTATTTAAAATTCAGGTGCTGGCTGCCTCCACTGAAATGTTGGTGAAATAAAATGGTTTCAAATATTTCATGTGTGTGATTTTTATTTACAGATGACATGGCAGAACTTCTTCTTGGGGAGTCCAAACTAGAACAATTTTTGAAGGAAAATGCTCTTAAACAGACTAGTAGTCCACGGGGCCCCCGGCCAAAGCTGACTGAGGTCAGGAAACATCTCACGGCAGCGCTCGACAGGGGAAACCTGAAGGTATGTAAGTCAGTCTGAGCAAGAATTAGAAAACCTGATAGTGACTGGAGTAAACTGCTGATCGTGGAGAAAAATGTGGAAAGTGCTTGTGTGGTGTTTTATTATCATTGCTATTCCCAGAACATCATCAGCACTATGCTATTTCATGGCTCTTTGTTGGTTTGTGGATTTTTGTTCAGCTAAATTTCTCAAATCTTCTTACATTAGAAGAATAAGAAAATTGTCATTGTCTTCTGGGATGCTAAAGTGGAGTAGTTACAACCTGTTTTGTGTAAGTTTTTCTTGGGAGTTTATATAACTCATAACATTCACTGCAGTGCATCAAATAGAAGCATTTAAAAATGCAAAAAACTTCACGAATTTCTGTAATGGTTTCTTAAGTAATCAGGAGAGGTTCCTTAAGTTATGTTTTCAGGTGCAGAAAATGACGTTAATACTTGAGAGCATTTTCTGTCGTAACCTTTTGATGTTCTTAACCATTCTGGCCCTTCTTTTACCTAACTATTGTTGTAGCTACTACATCAGTTTCTCTTTTCTGTACTCAATGTTCATCTTTTGAGAGATCAATAGGACCTTGTTTTACAGTCATCTGTAACGTTTTCTTTCCTGCGATTTGTGGGAGTATTAATTTTTCTTCCTTTTCTTTCTTCATTATTCCATTAATCTTTTTTTCAAGACTTTTCTTCTGCACTGATACTTTGAAATTGTGCATATTAAATATATGGGTTGTGGAACATACATCAGTAAGTTTTGATGCTCTGTTATTTTCAGCTGTGCTTGCGGTGTTAGAAAAAAATAATTGGAGGGGTTGCAATGATAAGCTGCCTTTAGTTTTGTCACCTGGCAAAGCTGCATTCTGACTGAGAGCTATTTCTGGTGCATGTGTACATTTGTGAATATATATAAAATAAATGTATCTTGGTGGAGTGACGTTTTGTGGATTCACCCTCTACTGCAAACTTCCCAAATATTACAGGAAGTCAGAATTTTGTTGGTTTGTTGCTCTATTACAAGAAATATCCTGAGGGTTTCTACAGTGAATATATATAGAAAACAGAGCAAATAATTATCAGAAAGCATTAGGTGTGTTTTTCAGGGAAAAAAAACCTTTCTTATTCCTCTTCCTTCTAGCCAGAATTCCTACAAGAAGCTAACCTGATTATGGCCAAGTTAAACTATGTGGAAGGTGATTACAAAGAAGCTCTGAACACGTATGCCAGAGTTGGAGTTGATGACTTGCAGCTAGCTGCAGTGCCACCATATAGGCTACGAATGATTGCTGAAGCATATTCTACGAAAGGTAAGATTGCTCTTTCCCGTATAATATCGCAGAAATAGTTTTTAAAAAGTTAATTCATATCTTGTCTGAAGTCAAAGAATTTTTTGGCGTGCGTATCATCAACACAGTGGTGGAGTACCACAGTAGATAAATAAGAGTATAGCTTGTCTCCTTTAAATTGCTCAGTTTGTGCTAGGTTGTGACAAGACTTTTACCTCAATTAATATTCGAACTGTGCTGTCACCCAGACAGATTTTTTATGTGTGTATTTAAAAGTCCTTCCATATGTAAATGTTACAATAGCTGTGGCTAGATACTAGAAGTATTATAACTATTGCTGAAAGTTAAGAGTTACAAAATTAGTGCAGTTTTGCAGTTACTGTGGACAGAATTGGACAGCCTTGATTCACTGTGATGCTTTTTACTGAATGTTAAAATGCTCAACATAAGCTAAATTGCTTAACTAAATTGCTACTTAATAGAGAAAAATAGTAATAACATGATAAAATGACTTAAAGGGGTGCATTTCTTGTGCAGTTCTATTTTTGATTTTTTCTTAACTGAATATAGGAAAATTCAGGCAGTGAAGCTAATTTAAAAAAAAAAAAATTTTGCTAATCTTGTATAGTGAAAATTGTAATGCTGGCCTTGTGTCTTAAGGTGGCAGTGCCACTTCAGTTTAGAAAACTCATTAATAGACTGTAAGCAGGGTCAGTGTGTTGAGGAAAGTGGCAGTTTGCATGCTGTAGGTTTATTAGAATTTACTGTGCCTAAATGTTTGCTTTCGTCTGTTCTGTTTAAGCTTGGGTTTGATGTGCATATGCACTTTTTGTTATGGCAAGAGTGTCAAAGTCAGCAAACACAGTTTATGACAGACTTCGATAGCATTCACTGACAACTGGTCAAGGATTGTTTCTAACATTAGTCTTGGAAGAGAGTGACTGTTTTCCACCAACACAGTCCTCTAGTAAACGTTAGACAAGCATGAATCATTCTCTATAGAGATGTCAAGGAAATAAGAGAACTAACTGGTAGCAGAGACAAAAGGATGCTTCCTAAATCTGGGCAATATTTAGATTAAAGTGGGAAGTGAGTACATTGAGAGTTCTTATATATGATTTAAATCTGCCCAGTTCCCTTGTACAGCATCTGTGTGGGCTTTCTGGCAATGTCTGGTATGGATAGACTTCTAGTCAGCTTAGTGGTTTTTTTTGTTTTGTTTTTGTGTTGTTTTGTTTTTTTTTTTTTTTTTTTGTTTTGGTTTTTTTTTTTTTTTTTTTTTTTTTTAATCTATGAGGATGTCTGTTGAACTTGTCATGTTCTTTCCATGAAAATGCAATGTTGGACTTGATCAGCTTCAAGTTCCTAAGTTTGCTTATATGTCCAAGGAATCACAGTAATTTAATCAAATCTTTTCCCAGAGCTCAACTCTTCTGGCTCTTTTTATTTGACCTCATAAGGATATAGAACAGTTGAAACATAAAGGCATCAGTTTTGCAGAAAGAATTAGTATTATTAATTTTACTTAAGGTAAAAACAATTTATTGGAGAATAGTAAAATATGCATCTTTTCTACCCTGGAATGTTTTTTAAGCTCAGTTTATAAAAAAAAAATGGTAAGAAAAGCAGCTTTCTGTGTTCTGCCTAGATGTGCTGGTGGGGTTTTGCTTCCGATTTCAAGTTTTACACTTAAACATTGAAATCTGTCATATCAAGCCTGATCTGATCTTGACCAGATGTCATTACTTTGGTCAGTTCTGTTGGGTGACTGGCTACCAGTTTACCTGAGCAAACTACTGGGATTTTGCTGGTGTCCTGTTCATGTTCAGAATCATCTTTCTTTGCTACTGTGTTTCCAGTTTGAATGGAAGATTAATAAAATTTAATATCCCTTCTTCCCATGGTAGCACGTTGCATCTATATTGTCTTCTGTGTGTTCTAGAACGAAGTAGAAGTTACAGAGCAGTCTTAAATTTAGTGTTCAATGTCTAGATAAGTTTAGAGTAATTGACAGCTGAACAGTATATGTTTCTACTCAGTAGTATACAGTTAGTTCTCACTCTCTTCCCCCTTCCCCCTGGAATTACTTTTTGCAAGAGTGGACTATAAAACTTCAGTCTGAATTCAGAGGTGACTGTGGCTTGTAGGTGTTACCCAACTAAATACAAGTTATTCTTACAGAGATTTTGTGCTTCATTGGGGTTTGTATTTCTGCTTGCAATTCAAGGGTAACCTGATTATATAAAGGTAAAACTCCTCTGACTATTTAGATTTTTATTTCTTTGCCAATCTTATATTATAATAATATATGCTTAATAACATAGCACCATGTTATTAAGCAGTGAGGGACTGACCGTGCTGCCTGTTGGCAAGCATCAGGCTGCACTGTTCAGTGCAGCAGCCTGCACAGAGGCAGTTAAAGTTTTAGTTGCCATTTTAGTTGCCCCATTTCAATCCAGTTTGGGGCAAAGGCAGTTCCAGTGGATTTGCAGCCTTGTATGCTGTTGTGTAGTGGTCTGATACGGATGTACTTCTGACGAAGGCATAGGGCAGATAGCTAATGGTACATTTTTAGTTGCATTAAAAATTTTTCCTTATTTAAGGTGGGACCACCCCCCAGTGCTTACCTTCTCACTCTGGGATTTCATTCTGTAACCTCAGAGGTGATAGTTTGAGTGGGGTGCTTGAGTTGATGTTTCTTCTACTATAGTGGTTACAGGGTACTTAAATGAGCATGTTGTGCTGTAACCCTAGGCAGTTAACTGTTCACAACAATCCCTTAGAAATGACCTGCTTTCCTTATATCCCTTCTTACTTTTGCTTGTGGAACATATGAAGTATGTCATTCGGTTCTTCACAGCAAAGGAGGATTCAGCGTGTGTGTATGGATGCAACGAAGTGCAAAAATGGGTCCAAGGTCAGGTTCAAGCTAAATTTTGCTGGAGTTTTATCTACTGATGGCTAGAAAGAAGGGGAAGAGAAACAGCAGTAGTGACAATTGTGGGGAGAGGAAATGGAATTAGAACATGGGAGGGGAAGTGAGATCCTCAAACACTTGCTTGACTTGTGAAGAGGGAGTGTATTTATGTATGTGCATGTATACGTATATGTGCATAAATATATATCTGTATGTATTTATGTTGTTAGAAAATATGATGTGACAAAAATCAAAAGAGGAAAATTCTTACTGCCTCTTCAGAGTGTGTCTGAATGCATTATCCATCAAGGTTGTTTATAAACCTCACTGCAAAATCTTCATTAAATTACAATAGTCTTCATTATGAAAGTCTTCATTACAGTCGTCCAGAACATAAAATTTAGTCTTTGCACCCATGCAGTCTTCCATTTGGAATAACTCTGTCATTAAACCAAAGAACTAAAGCTGTTTACTGCCTGCAATGCACTCACCAAGGGGGTCCTCAAATTGTTTATTACATGTATGAATTAAATGCATATATATCTTTAAAATAATGCTTGTAAGTCTCTGTGCTGCTTATAGCTTTAGATGAGGACAGCATATTTAGAAGAATGTGAGGCATAATATGGAATGATAGTAAGTCAAGAAAAGGATTCAAAGGCTCTCAAACCCACCAAGGCAGATTAAATTATTGCTGTTCTTTTCTTGGAAATGTCTAGTTAGTGAAATGCTGCTTCAGATCTTCCAGAGAAAGCTTCTTGATAGATTTGTCAAAATGTAACATTGTAAAATTTCAACAAAATTCTAAAAAAATTGTATCAAATTACCTTTGAAATCCTTTCCGTTTTCTTTCCGTGAAGCTCTGCGCCAGCCTGTGATGTGCAGGGAATCCCAGGGCCTCGGTGCCCGAGCAGCGCTTGGAAGTGGTTCCTGCCTGTCACTCCTCCTAGGGAAAATGTTAAAAATGGTTAGTGTGGTGATAAAGGAACGGCTGTATCTCTTCAGACTGAAAAGCTCATGGGCAGTTGTTTATAATGGTGAGCAAAAAAAGTGCTTTGGAAAGAAATTTAAGTAACGGGACAAGTTGTTTGTTTTGTTTTTTTTGGTTTTTTTTTTTTCCCTGACTCTGGCAACAAAAGCTGCTGCTAGCAGTGGTGTCTAATACCTTATCTTGACTAGAAGAAGATGCAAGTGTGATCTGATGAAAAGTTACCTGCTGCTATGTCCATTAAAACAGCAGAGAGTAGACTAGCCATGTGAATATGCATGAGACAAAGCCTCAGAAACTTGATTAGCATAGGTCAGGACTCAGCACTGTTTAAATATCCCTCATGCAAAAGTTGCAAGGAAGTAACTACCACACAGTACACTGATAGTGTAATTCTGATATTTTCTTGCCTTTCTCCACCATTTTCTGAAATTCACCAGTTAAAAATGGAAGTGTAGTGGTGGACGGTCTTCTTTTATGTGGTTAACTTTGTAGACAGGCATACTTTTATGACCTTACACTGCTTCTTTTTTTTGTGTGTGTGCGCCCACAGAATATAGTTCTGGATTAGATCTGCTTTTTTCTTTACTTTAAGAAAAGAGCTGATTTTGATGCTGTGCTTTTAAGTAATGACTCTGTATATGTATGTGAAAGGTGCTGTGTGGGGTAGAGTATTAGTAAAATCATAGTTTTTGATATTAAATACAGAATTTTCTTAGATAGAAATACTTACATGAAGAAATTGAGCGGGGCAATTTTTAAATGTCTTCTAAAACATAGACATGAAAAGATTGAGCTTTTCAAATCAAGGGGCCACTTAGTATTTGCAAAAACATGCTAATACTTACTTGCATCTGTTGGTTAGTTTTTCTCCCTTTGCTTGTAATTACATTTGACATGAAAGTGGAGGAGAAGCACCTGACAAAACAATTTTCTGTACCAAAATGTCTGTGGTTCCATGTGCCAGCATATTTCATGAGGTTGTGATGAGGGAAAGAAAAATGGTCATAAAAGAAGGACGTTTTGAGGAGGTGGGCTGGTTTGCATGACTCTTGTTGTGGCAAAGTGTTATCCTGAGGTATGAATGTTGCTGGAGCTGGCCCTTGCCTTTCCTTC